GCTCCAGGGCACATTTGGTGGTGGGAGATAAAAGTGTCAGCCTCATCAGATTTTTCTCATGTGGATTTTTTTTTTTCTCCAGAATCTTTTCAGATGTCACTTGTGGATGATGTGGCTGGCATATAAGGGAAACAAACAAAACAAGACAAAATGAAACAAAACAAAAAACCACACGCTGCAGATCTTGAACATCAGTAACGCCATGTCTCATGGCTGCATAAAGACCCGGTAGATGTGCAGATGCAAAGGACTGTGTGTCAGAGCTATGCTAAGCTACATTCTCTCCAGTTCACCATCTTCTGTAGCCAACCAACAGCTTATGGCTGTGGGAAGGCAGCCAGCTTGCTCTGCCCAGAAGAGGCAAGGAAAGACCACAGGTATGCTACTTCTCTTTGCTGATCCTCAAATGAAAATCACTAAGTATCTTATTCCCCATAAAGTTTGCCTATCCTATGCTCCTATATAATTGAAAAACTCAAAGGCAAAGCCTGAAGGGCTCATTTCTGGTGTCCTGGCATAAAACTGATTTGTTTTCCTGGAAGTGGAGCTACAAAGTGTTAATACTCTGAGATAGTTCTGAGTTTCCTGAAAATTGATCTTTATCAACTTTATCTCAAAGAATTATGATTAATAATGTTCTACTATTTTCAGTTTAATCTGAAATTCTCATCTTCTTCTGAAACTGCAGTCCTGATTCTGTCTCTGGCAACCTAGAGTACACACAGAGCAATTGTTCTGATTCAATGGAGTTGCAATAGCAATCTGTAACCGAGAACAGTTTTTGGCTCTTCAAACCAATTCTACAGTTGCTTCATATATCCCCCCTGCAATGCTATAAATATTGGTGCTATTTTAGGCTAATGGTGTTTTTCTCTATAAGCCTAGCCCCATCGGAAGTTTCCTGCCCATATTTGGGTAAGTAACAAAGGACAAATATGATCTTTTTTTAATTCCTTTTAAGTTGTTAAACTTCAACAATAATAAAGGTATTATGTGGAGTCATCTCAAAAATATATCCCATATATCATTCTGAGATAAAGATCTTTGTCTGAGACTTTGTCTGAAAAGGATAATGTTTCACTCCTGGCGCCTGTGAGTCTACGCTTTCTAGCATAATACATATTTGTTATACAGTTACTAGACCTGGCTAGGTACAATGCCCAAAAAATCAGTTTGTACTTTTTTTTTTTTTTTTTCCAATTAACAAACATCATCAGCCAATTGCCTCTTCTCAACCTGGTGAAAGTTAACTGGAACACTGGGAACTGGCAAAGGCAGTAAGAAAGTGCCTATGTCCCAAGGTATTATCTATGAGCTTATAAGTTGTGGTGGAGCACAGAATGGCCTGCAGTCATAGAGCAATTTGAGTATGCTTTAAAATAGCCACACAATCATTTTCTTTGGTGGAAATTAGGGGAATGGAGATTAGGATATGCCTCCGTGTTGCAGAAGGGTCATGTGAGAAATCCATTTATACAGAGTTAACAGCTCTGTTGAAATTCTCCTTAAAATCTTGTTGAATTTAGGCAAAATGTAAAGCTCCACACCCCAGCATTCAGAAAACAATGAAACATTGCTGGGTGTGTTCTGGATAAAAAATATTTGGGTGTTTCATTTTATATTAAGGTGTTTTCATTTTTGATGTTTAAGAAACATCTCATGCACCCAGGTACCAGACATAAATATAACCATGTATATACAAAATATAAAGGATCAAAGTAGACCAAGAAACCATGGGACTCTTTAAGGCCTAACCCAAGGCAGCGCGCTTGAGGGAGTCCCCCAGGATTTGCTCCTGCAACCTCCTCCACTGACATATCCCCAGTGGCTACCATGCTGTCAATGGAGCAGCACCTTCTGGCAAAGGATGGCAAAGGATGCTCCTTTGGGATTGGGGGGTCTTGGGGGCTGCTGCTGACAGCCAGTCCCCTGTAGTCACTGCATCAACCTCATCTTAAAAGATCTGGGATGCACTAGAAAAATTAATTCTCTTCCCCTTATCCCCATGCTACTACATCTGTGGTGTGGTTTGCCTCTAATCTTCAGCCAGACCCCAAAATCATAAATATATAAATAATGCAAAAATGTAAAACTCATTAAAGGAGTTAAATGTGATATACTGAAGCTAACATAAATATAGTAGCAGATTTTGCAAGTTAGAAAAAGTACTGGAGGCTCCTTGTTTATAATTTATAAATTGTTTTATTTGGTGAGTAGTTTCCAAAGTTAATGGCTTTAATAAACTCTTTATAAACCAGAGTGCTTATCTCCTATACACTGAGGGCCAGATGGTACCATCTGATTCATACTGCAGATTTCTGCAATTTGGCTTCATTAATGTGGCAGACAGCAGTTTCCACACCTCACAGAGGTATGTTCTCATCTTCCAGAAATGGTGAAGCTCTGGAGCCATGTGACTCCTCTGTTTGCATTGGAAGGATCCTTCACAGGGGTGTGATTTCAGCAGAAGGAGGTGAAACAAGCCAAAAAAATTAAACTGCATGATAGCACTAGAAAAAGCAGATCTGGAGGAAAATTTGAGCTCAGGTTAGTGCTGACCTTAGCTTGGAAAATCATATGCTCTCCAACATCCACATCTATACAGCCACTAGGGAGCTGCCTGGTTACATGTGATTTTACCCATCTGTTATTTAAATCACAGATCCAAACTCAAACCCCAGAGCTTGCAAAAATGATGTGGATCAGTGTCATCCTGTGGATACTTTTTCTATAAACAGCTGAAGGATCTGGATCAGGAAGTTTTCCAGTCAGAATTACACCCCTAACTCCCCCAGTTCAAAACACTGTCTACTGACCAGGGGTGACAAATATCTGTCAGTACTTCTGTCTGCCCCCAAAAGCACTAATTACTGCTGCAGTGCTGATTCTTCAAGGGAAACTCACTTCTTTGCTCCCACAGTGATCCCCAATGATGCTGATTTGGGATAGTTACTTTTCTTTAGTATGCTATAACAAGAATTTCTAAAAAAATGGAAATAACTTCTGACTTAACTACAACAGGGAATTCCCGGCATTATTGTAGTTGTTGTTGTTTCATTTTTATTTCTTTCCACCTGTATTGCCTGTAGTTTAATAGTGAGACAGGGAGAGAAGAATGTCCTACCAAGTTTCAATTCATTTTCTATTAAAGGTAAATATCCAGTCAAGTGCCTTCTTGTTTTCCTCTCAGTTCCTTGTATTTTTCTCTATTTGACTTTCTTATCATTGTGTGTTCTCAAAGTTATCAAATAAATATTTTGTGCATTCACTAACCAAATGCTGGAAAAAGTAATTGGGGAAAACAAAACTTTTTTTTTTTTTTTTTTTTTTGGGGGGGGGGACAGATGTTACATATTCTGTTTCTCACTGCATTTGCATAAATTGAAAAAAAAAAAAAAAAAAAGCATTTCTAAATGAAGTGTTCAGTTCCAGAAAAATGTGGGAAGTACACTTTTCATCTTAAAGTCATTTATCAAAAAGATGTGTTTTAAAATAAGTTTACAGGTAGTTTTGTCTAATTGAAATTGTCATTATTCACTGAATAAAAAAAAAAGATTTTTGACCCCAAAATATAGCCTGCTTACTTTAAGAGAAGGCAGTGGTGGGCTAAGATCAGATGCTGCTGGTTGACCTTTTGATGGGGCTTGACAGTGTGAGGTGCAGAATCCTCACAAATATGGTTCCCTGGGAACCAGGGGAAGGAGAGTTTCTTGCAGGGTGGTCTGGGAAGTGACGATCTGACTTGTAGATATGTCACCAGGAAACCAAAGTTTATTATAAGAGAGGGTGTAGAGAGAGAAATTCTAAAGAAAAAGGAACTGGGATATGGATGTCAGGATGAGTGGGATGAGTGGAGGCCTTTTCATTTATATTTTTGTCCTTGATATGTGTCACTAGCTGATGTGTCGAGCTTGCAGATGTCTAACCATAGCCTCCATGTGCCTGGGAATCTTCTTACTGACTGCTGTGGTGGAAGACTCTGTATTGGGCTTGGCAAACTGCTATGCTTTTTACTCCACTGGTGGTGAATATGCTTAGCCCAGAGAGAAGTTGTGCTCATCCCCGATGGTCCAGAGCAAGGCACCTCTGGGCTGAGGCCTCTCCAGACCCTGCAATCTCATTTCTTTCTGCAGCTGAGCAAAGATCTGTATGTGACTGGAGCTTGTCCAGATGTGGAACTGGGCTGCAGCTTGGGAATGCATAACACAGACTAGGTACGTCTCCTGCTTCCTGATCAGGTCCTGCAAGGTTTTAACTGTCATGGTCTGAAATAAAACCCTTTGGGCAAATCTCTTGCATTTCCTTTTTCCAGAGGGGAAGTGACATTGTATTATCCTTTCATCATCTAAATAAAGACAACTATCTCTCAAGTCTTCCTTGTGCATTTCTAGACACAGTGGTAATGAAATAAAATACTCTACTGTGAAAAGTGGCTTGCAGAGGGGCCATTCTAGCACTGAGAACTATAGGGAGCTTCCTTAATGAGATTGCGGCATAGCCACCCTCACCAGGGGTTAGCCCAACATGACCACATCGGCAGCACATACGATAAAGTCTTGGACCTTCTGTGCCCATGAATTACACAGGCAAGAAGTCTGATGTTGGGCCTGCTGTCCATTGACAGCTGGGCTTTTTTTCTGAGCTGGAGACTCAGGCCAAGACTATGTTAACTTCTGTATTAAAATAGCACTGGATTGCAATTTATCAGTGACTATCAGCTGAATCAGATAAATCTTACAGGAGCTTTAATGCATTCTGGCAAGTAATATTTCCTACCTTCTTGGAAAATAAATCCATCCTTCAAATTTTCTAAGCACAGGAAGTTCCATCTGAATATGAAGGGGCACTTCTTTACTATGAGGGTGACAGAGCACTGGAACAGGCTGCCCAGAGAGGCTGTGGAGTCTCCTTCTCTGGAGATATTCAAAACCCACCTGGATGCCATCTTGCACAATGTGCTCTAGGTGATCCTGCTTGGCAGGGCGGTTGGACTAGATGATCTTCAGAGGTCCCTTCCAACCTTGGGCAGTCTGTGACTCTGTGATTCTCTGCATAAATTCAACAACTGAGGCAACACATTTGTAGGAACTCATGAACATGCAACACATATTCCAATAAGTTCAGCTTGCTGCTTATTACAGCAGGGATCAACTCAGAATACAGAAAATATCATGATGTATGAAGATAAAAGGATGCCTGAAGATAGTGATGGAGGAGTGATTATTCCTTATAACACAGGAGCATGGGGATGTCCAGTGACTAATGAAAGTGTATTTAGAAAAAAAAATATAATGAGGAAGTATTTCTTCTTGAAAAATTATTCGTGGAAATCATTGTTACGAAATTCTGTGGAAACCAAAGTGGATATAATGCACATAGTCCTTCAAAAAAAATTTCTTTAAACACTTTTTAGGTTCTTCAGTTGCTATTGAACACAGTGAGCCAAAACTTTAGTGCAGCAAGTTTCTACGTGGCAGAGAATGAGAAGGTAATAACAAGCAAATAGTTGCTCTGGATTGGTTCTGTTTCTTACATGCATTCCCAAACCAAGGTACTAATCCAGTATGTCTGCTGCAGTGCAGTGCTGTGCTGTAGTTGCAGTCATTGCAACTACATTAATACAAGTGGAAGTGGAAGAATCACCTCAGTGACCTTGAATGGTGTGTTTTAATTGAAGGAAGATTCCAGCTATGTAAGAAATGACAGCCCTGTGGAGTGTTTGTAGCAATATAGGAGAGGATAGATGGTGCTTGGAGAACACTGAAGAATAAACAGGCCAGTCTACACTCAGTGGTACCTGGGACTTGCATTGACAACATTAGCAGATGAAATCCTGTGTCTATTCAGGAAGAATAACACTGAGAACACCTATTTGAGTTTCTCCATAGTACTGTATTTGCACATTGCTAGTGTTTCATGGGTTGCCCGTCCTCACTAGCTCTTGGCTGGATGCTGTGCAGGCACTCTGGGGGAGCAAACAGGCAGCCATCTGGGAAGCAAGCCGCTCACCATCCCGCCGCATCCTCTGTTGATTCTTGGGGGAATGCCAGCCAATGAACTTGCTGTGAAAGTTTTGCTTTAAGAATATTATTCACCACTTCATCTGTAGCAACAGTACTTCTGTACGTGATGTCCTCCATGTCATTGCCAGTCCTCTGAGTCATCAACTCATGAAGGAAATGACTTTGTTTTCTTTTGGCTCTTAGCTAAGCATCCAGCATAAGCACTTTTTTTCTGGTCCACCTGGCTTCGTCTCAGCTTTATTTAAAGTTTTCCCAGGGGCTTGTTAAAATCGTGCTTATGTTTTCTTGTCTCATGTTTGTATAGGTGACGGGGAGGAGAAATTTCCTGTGTATGCCTTTTTGAAAAAACAACATTTGGAGAATCATGGAAGTATTTTCTTACCTTAAATAAATAATAAATTTCTCAACTTTGCATGTAGCCAAAAGAGAACCACAGTGAAAGTGTATTAATATATATATATATGCTCCCTCTTTTCCAAAACCCATTTACAGTTTGAAGAGATGGAGAACATTTGTTTGTCTGTTCAAAGACTTATGATATTTCTAGCACTCACCCTGTTGATCCCACAGCCCTGTCGTGTATGGCTGTTGCTTTTGATGTTGAATATGTTGTCAGAGTAAGTTTCAATCACTCCCAGACCAGAGAGATATTTGTGAGCAGTTGCTGGCTGTTTAAGTATCACGTGCTTCAAGTGTAAATGCCAAATCTGAAGATGGACAGGGGAAAGAAATAAAACAAAACACAAGTGTGTCTTGATACAGTGTGGAGTGGGATCATGAAATAAAGGAAGCCCCACTTTGGATTTTGCTTATGGGGACTTGTCTCAAATACTTGGTCTATTTTGTCAGTAGCGGGATTGTTCATGGATCCAACAAAAGCAGAAGAGGAAAATCCATGGAGGTTCAGGGAAACATTTAGTGCATGTTTATTTCTCACACATTTCCAGCTATTGATGAGTTTCAGTGTTGTCCTGAGTAGAGGTCATTTAAAGCATATATTCTAGCTTGAAGTGTGAATAAATTATCGCTTTTTACTAAATAGTGTAAGGACAAAACTCTTTTCTGGACTATTGTCTATAACTCAACACTATTTTAAATGTTCTAAAATAAATACAGACAATCTGGCTTCAGCGTTCAGTCTCATATTTCAAAAATAGTTTGGTGGTAAAGCAACTTTTTCTTTGTGTTTTTCTTTTTGAATGCAATTGTAAATGCTTGAGAACTGGGACAAAAGTTAGTCCTTGCACCATCCCATCTATCACCGCTTCTTCCAAAGTTACAGGGACTGAGGAGATTAATTTAAGAATACTGGTGTGCTATCACTCAGCTTGTTTTTGTTGGCCTGACAAGCTACCAGCTGCTGCAGTTTGTTGCCATTTCACAGGCATTTATTGAGGCATTTAAACCAATTTTTCAATAATTCAGCACCGTGACCCTTCTTAAATCATATGGCATCTTTTAGAAGTGAATGCATCCTGAGGATGTGGCAGGCAGCACCTGTAGAAATGGCTGAAGAATAAACTTGTTGGCCAGCAACTGTCCCTAGCTCTGTGCCTTGGCTGCCGCAGAGTATACTTGTACTCAGCCACTGAGAGCTGCTTGCTAGGCTTTATCATCCTTGTGATAACATCATAGAGCAGATTTATAGGCAGCAGTTTGCATCTGTTTTTCCTGGAAAACTCTGAGGTACCAGGGGGTCTCTGTTGGGATGAGGAAACAAGAAGGAGGGCAGGCAGGAACTGTGGTCATGGCTTGAAGTAGGCAGGAGAGCAGGAGCACGACAGACAGCCAGGGGAGTCAAGGAGCTGAGCAGGCACCAGGAACCTCAAATGGCTCAGAAAACATTGCTGGGCTCATGAGTCTGGCAAATGTCAGCAGGGAAAGAACACGGTGGGTCATGGCAGCACCCATCGGTGGCCATCTCAGGGGCTGGGTCATGGTCTCCTGCCCTGTCTGGGTGGCCAACAACAGCTTCTGCACAAGGCTGCTGCTTTGCAGGGACTGTCAGTAGCCTGGCTGCAACCTAACTTAAAAGCCATGATCTATAGTGTGCTGTGTGAATATTTCCACAAAACCACATGTGATGATCTGAACTACAGATAACTTATTAACAGAGCAATGATTTCCTTAGTATTAAATAAAGTGATTGAGAAGTACAGTGCTTCAACTTGGAAAAGCACTTCACTTATCTGGTAAAAACAAAAATAATGCTATCAGAAAACATTCCTGTATTTCCTAGGCCAGCACCCCATGGCTCTACCAGAAGCATGGTTCATGGGTACCAGGGCTGAATTTCTTCCTTTGGCATGAGCACTCCTGTATGGCCATGGGCTAGGACAGGACACCTATGCTGCAGTCACCGGGGTGGCTCAGGGCATCCAGTGAGCTGATAGCACTGAAGCTGTGGTGGCCAAACAGGCCTGAAAGGCAGGGCAGAGTGGCCAAAACACACTGCCAGCTGCTGCAGCAAGACCTTCCATCGCATTTACATTTACCTCAGGTGCACCTGTCCACATGCCTGTGCTTACAGGCTTTGCACAGCCTCATCCTCCCTGTGCTTCAGTTCCCTGTGCACAAAAGGAAAGGCGTGTGGAAGGGCTACCCTATATAAGTGCTCATACTTAGTTTGGTTTTACTCAAGAATGCCTGTTAGTGTTGGTACTTAGGATAGCAAGGCAACTGTTCAACACTGACTGCTGTGGCTCGTGATTTTGAAGTTAAGTGTGTGCATAAGTGTTTTGCCAAGTTGGAGCTCCATGCCAAGAGCTGGGAAGCTGAAGTTTGGCAGTGAGACAGCAAAAGCCTTAAATGACTTTGGCTGTTTTACCTGTATGGCAACTGGGCCTAGGAAAATTCATGGTTCGCACCTGGCAGTTGAGATAATTATCCTATCTTTTGCAAAAACATAGTAGGTGCATTGTTTGACTTATGAAGAGCAGCAACAAAGTGCAATTGCTGAACTGAGATGTCAGCATAAGAGAATAAAAGTACTGAGGTGAAGGCTTTGATGTGGCAGAGGACAGTGGCCCAGACAGCAGGCATTGGACTCCATCCACTTTCTACCTCTGAAGATACTCCTTACATTGCAAATCCCCGTCTTAAATGCAAATCACCAATTAAAGGCACTCCATTGCTGCCTGGCGAAGCTGAATGCCAACACACAGAAACAGGTTGCACTTGTAGAAACACACCTTGTCACCAAATGGAGGAACTGACTAGCAGCAACTTCTGAGGATCCAGAAGATCAAATGCTCATCAGGTGTGTTTTATCCAAAACTTGCAATTCATTTGCCAGGCACAAACAAGATGATGATGAAAACAAAGCATGTTCTGCTCACCCTTCCCCTTTCCTAACCCCAGGATGCCACAAAATAAGAAACCAGGCACTTGGCCACCCCTTGCTGTGACGATTTTGATGCCTGTGTGGCAGCACATACAACAGAACTGAGGATGCGCTGTGCTGGACCCTCTGCAAACCTCTCCAGCCTCTTCCCCAGACTTACAGTCTCTGGATTTTAGTAAGCAAAGCTACAACTTTTAAAGATTTTTTTTTTGCCTTCAAAAACTGGCTGTAGTTCAGTGGGTACAAAAACTGTGTGGGGGCTCTCTTAATTATTTAAATTCAGTGGTAAAATTATGAATAGAGTCTTCCTGGTTCTTAGCCAGGCTCCAGCAGAATGAGACCTGTCTACCTAAAGTTTTCCCTCAATATATTTGAATCATTTTTAAAGTATCCTTTCAATTCAATTAATGTTGCCTTCTCAGCATATTAAATCTCTAAAGGATGAATGAAGGCAAGGGGATGAATAAGAGAGTATGGTCAAATGATATGGTAGATTTGACAACATTTTTTTGTTTGCCAAATGTCTCTGACATTTCTGTGAGCATTACAGACTGGCAGCAAAGTAGTAGAGAGTGTTAACATTCACATCAAGTCATGCATTTTCCAAAGTCCTACACTTGACATCTGCCACTGAGTCCCCAGGCTCTTTTGCAATTTAGCTACATGCACCTGAAATATTATGTGAGCACTTGTTATGTCAACCACCACCTAGGCACTAGTAATGTATCTGAACAAATAGCCTCACACTGGAATCAAAGTTTTACTTGGTTTTGTAGCACTTACAGACCAAGTGGGTTTCTGACACCTTAGCAACTGATCTGTGCACCAAGTGAACCTGCATTTTAATAATGGTAAGGCAACCACCAGGTTTTGAAATGGGAGAAGATTTAGAAAGACTTAGTTCTGACAAGTACCCTGGTGAGGTGAGGAATTCAAGACAGTTGTGAGTTATAAATATTCATCTCCAACTTGTTAGAGATAGCTGGTAAAACAACGATCTGAGAGTCTTTTCCCTGGGAAAACCCTTGATGGAACAAAGTTCCTTTTGGGAGCCAAGAGATGGTTTATCAACATCAGCAGATTCACACGGCACAAACACAAGAGCTTTCAGGATAATGAGCCTTAAAATGCTAAATCTGAGAAAACAACAATTCAGTTTAGAACTATACTTTGCCTGCCTGGTAATGGAGATGAAACTGTTGACTAGACGGTCAACATTTATTTTAAAAAGGCATATGAGCCTATACTCACATCTAACATCTTTGTAAAAGTCTAGCTCTGTCACTGTGCCAACTCAGTGTAATCTCTGAACAACCTGGGTCAGGATTTCACCTGATGATCACTTCATTTAGCTCACCAGTCATTGCCAAACTCTATGCATCGGAAATATGTCCAGTGTGGGATGGGCTTTGCAGAGGTACCTCTTTAGCAGCTGAAGTGCATGGATAGCACTCAGCTCACAAGAGGGAGCGAAGATACAGCTCTGTGCAGCTGCCATCAACACCCAACCTGAGCAGGGACACCCCAGCCCTGGCTATGGCACCCACACTGCCTCAGCAGAAAGGTGAAAGGAAAAAAGGAACATATCAAGCAAGAGTTATGTGTCTCTGAAGGCATGTCAGTACCATTTGGGGTGGGTAAAAGAGTAGGTGGGTGGTAGGAAAGGAGCAAGTGCTAAAGTAAAAATTACTACCAACAAAGATAGCAACACAGATAGCGGAGTTTAACCACAGAATCCACAGTACATAGCTACCGAGCCTGCCCCAATTATAACCACAAAATATAGAATCTTTAACCACAGTAATCAGATGATATGACCAATATTCAACACAAGGATCTACAAAGAACTGCTCGAATACTGGAAAACAATTTCAGGAACACTCATTTTAGATGTTTGAAAACATCCGTTCAGAGCAGTGCCTCTTCACCACATGAACTGTGGAAGTGCTTTTTCTCAAAAAAAAAAAGTTGTAGCAGATAATTTTATGGTCTGTGATGCTGCAGAAGGGGAGCAAGCCCTGGAGCACAATTGCAACACTGCAGTATGAACAACGTGTTCCTTGCCACAGTGGTCACCCTGAATGGCTATCTTCCAGCCCTTTGTATTAGGGAATACATGTGCTTCAGATAGCCGGATGGTCAGAAATAAGGCCCCAGAGGTGTAGATCTGGCCTCAGATAATTCCCTTTCATTGTTTCAAGTCCCTGTTGGAGACTCCAACATGAGCAGGCCATGAATGATCCTCACTCATGCTTCAGGTTTAGGGACATGAATTCAACCCACTTCGTAACACCAAGGACCTTTACTCTCACTTCATCCTTGGCCAAATGCAGCTCAGCTGCATGCAGTTCTGCTCCCAGCTTCAGAGCAGACTGCTCCAGCCCCTCACCGCACTGGCTTTGTGCTGTATTTTCTGGCTACATAGGTCTGCGTGAACTGATGTTCCTCGGGAACACAAGGTCTGTTGTGCTCAGTGACAGTCAGTGTAAATATTTTAAATAGCAATGGGAAGCTTTTCATAGTCTTCAAAGCACTGATCTAAAATTCCAGCTGCAGATCTCATGTGGTTTATATTAGAACACGACGCTATTGCAAGTTGGAATATAAGGCTAGCTTTAGCAATAAAAGGACAGAGTTTCTACCTCTTTAGACTCGCTGTATCTTCTTACAGATCACTATTGTTCATAATGGATTTCTGGAACCCCCTGATAAAGAGATTTGGGTCTCTTGTAACCTTTGCTTAACCAAACAAGAACAGTTTCTGAAGTCAAAAGAGAATGTTATTCACTCTGTTCCTCAGAAAACAGAAATGTCTGGTATTGCTTTGGGTTTTCTTTTCTCTTCTATCTCATTGCATGATTCGTCCTCCTCTATCTCAGGGCAGAAGACAGGATACCTGGAAAAAGCTGACAAATAATTGTTGTCAAATAAACCCATCCACTAGAATTGAAACTTTACATCAAAGCTGAGGAACTGCAACTTCAGGATAACCTGGGAGGCATTTATGTGTTTGGTAGTATAGCGAGCAATTTGACCTAAATGTCTGTACCTATTCTAAACCCAACACAATTCATAAAACAAATCAAGAATGTATGTTTCCCCTCTCTCCTAGTCCATTGCCTCAATTTCTGTGACCTGCTGCCAAAAGAGTTTTAAAAGGATGAAAGATGCTTTGTAAGTTAAGAACTATTAATGAGAACTGGAAATGGGATAGAGCAAAAATATGTCTTCAGATGCTTTGAAGAAAAGGTCATCATGGTGGGAGATCCAAATTAAAAACAAACCTTCCTCAGGGTCACAGGCAGCACTGATCTGAATGAGGCAGGTGAAGAAACATGCATCTAAAGATGCATCATATAACATAGGAATCTGTACTGTGGTAGCCAGTGCAAATGCGAGGAAAGTATGGGGTGCTGTAGCATCTTCTCCCTCCTTTCTCACAAAGGCACATGGACCATTCATTCTCCAATAAATAGATGCCTATTCCTGAGGCTGAACAGCAAGGAGGCTACAAATTTGCAAATACAGTTTAAGCTCAGTGAGATTGACCCTCAGTGGGTTCAGGAATTTAGGGTCCCCTAAGCTCTAAATCATCTTCCAAAGTCCTCTTCCAAATGAGCATTTGCTTATGGATGAATTCTGAGTATTGTATCTGAGGAAATGCATTTTGTCATTCAAAGATGATGTTTCTCCTCAGTGACTGTTAAATTCCAGGTATCTGGATGTGATTTCTCATACAAAGTCCTTTGGCCCTTTTACCTACCAAGAAATTTCCAGAACGAAGAGGTTATGAAATGCAACGAAACATTCCCAAGTTGCACTAAGGGAGGTTTAGATCGGATATTAGGAAGAATTTCATCATAGAGAGGGTGGTCAACCATAGAATAGGCTGCCCAGACAAGTCCCCATACCTAGAGGTATTTAAGAGACATGTGGAGGTGGCACAAAGAGACATGGTTTAGTGATGGGACTCTGTAGGTCAGCCTGATGGTTGGACTTTGTGATCTTGAAGGTCTTTTCCAACCTAGATGATTCTATGAAAACATGTGCCTCAAGAGGAAGTTCTCCAGGCATGTTTTAGGGAGAAGCAAGTTTACCACAGAACAGAGCTGGCACCATTTGTCAGCTGTAGCCACATGGTGAGCAATCACCTCTGTGCTCAGGGCTCACTTCAGTCTGCACAGATCTTGAAGAAAACAGTAGGATGGTGCCCTCAGCGTGACAGTAAACCTGCTCTTCATATCATCTGATATGAAACTATCATAGGCTAATGAATTTAGAAAAGAATGACACAACATTTTGTCTACAAACTAACTTATGTCCAAAACCAGTCCTTCTTTTTGTTGTTTTGGTCTCTCTCTAATGAGTTATTGAGAGAGAGACCATTTCAAGCATGAGGACTGTGTCAAAGAAAGGTGTGTGAAATCTTCTAGAAACACCTGTCAGGTCATATGCCCTGAAAGAATGCTGCCCCTTCATTTCATCAGGAATGTCCTCCAGACAGATCAGTGGGGAAAACTGGGTTACTACGAGCCTGTCTCTATAATGTGGGACATGACAACTTCTGAAGGTCACTGTGATCCTCTCACATACCAAATCCTCCATCCCTCAGGGAGGCTCTCTTTGCTTGGTTCCTGTTGGCTGTTCTGTGGCTGCTGATACCATCAGATGAGGAGATGCAGAGAAGATGCTCTGTGCCCATCATGGGGTTAACACAGCCCCACAGTACTAGCTGTAGTGACCCACAAGTTTCCTTCTAGCTCTATGTCCCCAAAAGGCCTCTGCTCCTAAACTCTTTGTCAGACTTTTCTTATTAGAAACAGAAAAAAATATATGTATAAGTAAGGTTCTCTATTCCTCATTTCAGCAAGTATTCAACGGTGGTGTTTTATCCAACACTTTACCCAGCTGTGATCATGAACTATGGTAAAAATCACCAAAAAATAAAAATAAAAATAGAAAACTCTCAGACCTTGCAGCCTGATTTCTTGGCCAACATACTCAAAATAAATTTGGAGTCAAATAAACACCACATAAGCACCCACACTTCCACTCGCTGCTCTTTATTTTCCTAAGGAAAGGGGAGAATCAGCTTCCAGAGCATTGCCAGGGCTTTGCTGAGTCACGTACAGCTGCGCAAGTGGATGTTAGACGAGTGCCAGACCCTGCCCCTGAAACTGGAGACCCTTCTGCACAGGTGCAGACGACTACATGGGGACACAAGCAGGCGAGAGTCAGCCCCAGAGGCCCTGCTCCCTCTCCCTGCCACCTCTGTCACTGGCCATAGCACATTCAAGGTGAGTGTTGCCTTCTGCAAGTCAAAAACCAAGGCTGTGGTTGCTTGTGTTTGCAGGTGGGACTGGGAGGAGATGAAAGTGAGGGTTGATACAGTCTTTGGCCTCTGCAAAGGTCAGCAAGCATCCAGGATGAGAATCTTGGAAGAACAAAAGTTCTTCCTGCCCCAGCACAATCACTGTGTTTCACTGTGTTTCACTGTGTTTCAGATATAGTGGTGACCAGACTGAACTGTGTCTGCTTTCCCCCCAAAATAATTTAACTGTGTAGACAAATAGAATTATTTTCTTTTATACATAAAAGAAAATAAGTTGATTCCCCTTTTCTTTGTTAAAAAGCACTTATACTAACAGCAATGGCCTTTCAACTCAATATAACAGACAGCTGCTTATTGCTACTGCCCATTTCAGCATTCAAAAATTGGGACTTGGGGTGAAAAATACAGGACCATTCACTAAAGGACTTAAATTTCACATGCTTCAAAAAAAGTCTCTCTCCTTTTAACATTGGATCTGCTTTTGCTGTGTTGGCAAGACACAGTAGTGTCTGGAGACATCTGTTGCTGTTTATACTAGCAAGTAATTTGGTACAGTAGGAGTGTATCAGTAGATAGAGCATTTGGTGCTGAGTCACATATCCACAATGTGCAGTTGGGGGCTTTACTTTGAACTAAATTGGGTCTGGTTTTCAGGACCAAGCATCCCTATCATGCATGTGGTTCAAAGCTGTCTATGGGACTCGTCCTGGGTTCAGCCTTTCCTGACCCAGCAGGGATTAGGGCACATTTGGCCCGCACCTGAGGCACGGCTTCCAGGTTAGCTTCCTCTGAAAAGAAACCAGTTTGCATGTGCTGAGACAGTCCTGTGAACCGAAACAATGTGCAATAAGCAGGGGTGACTGAGAAATTTGCTTAAATAATGCATGCTGCCCTGAACCAAAAAGCTAATGAGTATTCAGGCAGTGGAGATCAGGCCTGGTTATGCCCAGTGGATGCACAGTAGCTGCCCAGCAAGTTCACAGCATGAATAGATACAACAAAGAACAAGAGAAAATTAAGACCATTGCAAAGCAAGTGGCTTGCCTGAGATCATGAAGATCATGAATGTTTTTGGCCACTGCTTTACCCATGGGAGTTACCATCCTTCAAAGGTCAGGCCTGCTAGCAGCCTGTTGAGCAGGCCAGCTTTGGGAAGAAGGTGCAAATGGATGCCTTTCTGCACTGAGCTATTTAGGCTTATCTATACAATCAAAGTCAATCTTTAAGACTACACTTGATATTTCAGAAAACAAACAAACAAACAAAACAAAACAAATTTCTTTCAATAGTGTTGATGCTCTCATTGCAGTTCAGTACTTCCCTGCTAAAGCTAGGCAGAGAAGTGACACTCCTTTTCTTTGAGTGGAGTAAACCAAATAAATACAGGAATCTCTGACTTACTTGGAAGAGCTGGTGGTAAAAGCTACAGCTAGAAATGGGGAGCTGAGAAACAGGTTGGTGCAGTTCACTGGAGATTTTCCAGGGTTGCTAACAATTTGGTTGGTAATTCCACGGTAAAGTCCCAGTACAGCAGTGCTGTATTTACTTCCCTATTGAGGCACTGTCTGCACTCATTGCCCTGTTTTACCACCTGGTTCTTCAGATGGATTCCCCGTTGACCTAAAAGGAGAACTGAGTTGAAAAACCTGATGCAGTATGACTCTGTGACACACATTGTATTAAGAGGATGAACAACACTTCTCTAATGGTCTTTATATTCCCTTCAAGCAATTCTATCTCCCAGATTTACTCCAGTGAAGCTACTTAAACATTACCTCCAAACATGGTTCCTTCATCCTATGAAAACTCAAGACATTATGCATTCAAATGCACCAGTTGCTTTTCATGCCACTTTTTCATACCACTTCATGTGTGTATTTCTGCCTCTTCTCTGCAGTTACAGACATTGCACTGTGTTTGTTGCTTGTTGGGCTCTTGGTGCGGATGGAAATGTTGAAAACAAGGTCTTGAGGTTATTTCCTAAATCTCTTACTAGTTCAGAAGAAATCATTATCTTACTTATTCTCTTTCTGGTTTTAGGCTGTCCTTCACTAAGAGGGAAAAGTTGATGAATTTTGCTGGTGATTTTTTCCTCTTCACTTCTGTGGTGCCCCACACCTGGTGCCAAAGCACAAGATCACTTTCTCCATAGCCAGGTGCCTGACAGGAGGGGAAGTTCTGGGAATTTCTGCTTCCCTTCTCCTGTCCAGTGCCTTTCAGAGACATGCTTGATGCTCTTCCACAGCCACCTTCCATTTCTCACTTCAGCAACATCTTTCCAGTGAGGTCCCAGCTGCTGGTCTGTCTCAAGTCCTCACAGAAAAGCCCAGCTTCATTCATGCATACTAAAAAAAGCAAGGTTTGCACTATTTCTGTAAGTCAGTGTGGAAATCTGACCATGATAAAAGACTTTTCTCTCATCACTTTTCTCTCCTTTTAATTTTTATTTCATCATAGGTCTGTTCGGATGTTGTGGCCATCACTAGCATGGGCACTGACCACAAAATAATGAAGAGGCAAAAGTAATGCTGATATACTAAGCATCATGTGCTAAATCATGGTATTGTAGATAAAAAAAAAAGAAGAAGAAAAAACAGGCTCAGAGTAACGTATTTATCTCTTCCTCCTCCACCTTGCACCTGTTCCCCCTGACTCTCCTTTCTTGGCTTGTAAAACCTAATGTTTTTCCCATAATGTGTGGGCAACTTCAGTCTGTCTCAGTTTCTGAGAGAAGGTGAAAAAAGGAGAAAGTGAGTGACTAAGAACCGCAGCGAGGGCAGATTTTCAGCGGGTGCGTGCCACTCATTTTGGTAGGGCTCGGAAGGGAACATGAGGCTGGGCCTCGGTGCTTCAGTTCCACATCTCTGCTCACTGACAGCCTCAAACCTCCTGCAGTGCAGAAAATGGAGCTGATGGAATGAAGGGATTCAGTGTTTTGGCCACCATCCATGCTCCCTGCACGGCAGCAGCCAGGAGGAAGCTGTCCGAGGCCTCAGGAGAAGATGTCCTGGGCAGGCAGGGCCGGCAGCCTGCCAGTTGGGTCAATATGCGTCTGTGCTGAAAGGCATGCTTGCTGCCACCTGTGGCTTCGTGGTCTCAGTTTGCAGTGGGATTTGTAAGAGGAGGTGTCCTTTTTCCATTGATGATGATAAGAGCAAGCAGGGGCAGCTGCTGCCTACTTGAAATAACAGCAGAGACACTGGTATCTTGGGATGTTCAAGTCAACACAAGTTGGCCTTGAGAGTTTTGAGCTCCAGCTTAAAGTATAAAATTATCTTTCAGATGCAGGAAGTGGATTGCCTGTGCCAGTAAGTGAGGTTCAGTGAAGGTGAGGTGACTCAGTCGAGCACATTGGAGCCTGCCAGGTCCCCGAAGAGATGGTTCCTTCTCTGCCTCCCTGCCCAGGCTGTCCAGGGCAGCCATGCCTCTTCCAACCTGATGCTGCTCGGTGCTACCTGAGGCAACAAAACAGCCCTGCAGCAAGGGGAAAGAGAAAGAAATAGGAACACAAAACTCACCAACTGCCCCACCCTCTGTGGCAGATTTTAGGACACCTTCTCCTGCCAGACCCCAGGACTTTATGGAGCCAGACCCCAGGACTTCCCTGCATCTCCCCATTGCCAGGGCACCTGTGGGAATTGGCTGTTCCTTGGGGCTGGTTGGAAGGTATCAACACCCAGGAGCACTGTCGGGTGCCACACAGATGCTCCCACCACTCTGGGGACATTTGGGCTCCAGCTGTATCACGCCAGCCCCACTGATTCACACTGGCTGGGGACCAGGTGCCAAAGGAGAAAACCTCCTGTTGCACCTCTCCCACTACTTTGAGTTTTTAAATTAGTTGTTCGTGGCAATTCTGATTAATTAGAGGAAGGGCAACAGTAACTTTTATAAGCAGCTCGCTTTGCAAGTTATGACGTAAGGTGATTGTAAATGAAAGAGATTAGAGGAAAAAAGTAATGGTCTGTGTAATCACTTTCACTGTTGGCCTTGAATAATTAGTCAGGTTCCCGTATTTTTTTCATGTGAAAATCTCACATGTCAGAAAAGAAAGAGTGAAATAGTTGTAAAAAACAGAAAATATGATGATAAAATCCTAGACTGGCAAGAAGAGATGAGGATGCCTTTAATGCCTAGTGGAGCACTTAGGTGAAGACATAAGAGGTGTGTAAAACAGAGGCAGTAACTGAGATGAACCCTTTTTCACATCTCTCTTATATACTGATGCCTAATGGGAGAGAAGATGTGTTGCTCTTAGACAATCTTCTCTAGCACTGATTAGGCTGACCTGGAAAACATTTTGGATATCACACATCAGCTTATGTCCCTGAAGGGACCTGTCACTGTTATAAGTAGAGTTTGACTTGGGTGTAAAATGAAAAAGCTTCTGTGCTGGCAGTAGATAAACAGACATTTACAGCATAGCTCTGTAAAAAAACTCAGAAACATTGAGGTGTGGGGAATGTCTGAAATGCGAGCAACCAGAGGTGGGCACCCTGACAGCTCACTTGTGTGCCTGCCTGAAGCTAGCCTACCACAGCAAGCAGGTACAAAAGGGTATCTTGGGCTGAGAGTTTCCCTCCTCATGCTTTTAACTCAAGCACACAGGTATATGTCTTTTTCTCTCCACTGAGAGCAAGAAGCGAGATCTCAGCAAACCATAAGGGACACAAGGATACCAGCCTGTGCAATGTAATCCAGCTCAGCAAGTATCTGCTTGGGTAACAAATGAAAATACCCTGCTGACTCTTGGGGGAACTGGGGTGCCAGCACTGATTTTACCCCTGCAAACAAGAAACTCGAAATCAGGGGCAGTAAAGGTTGGTGGTAATCCTTTTCCCAGGCTCTGGTATTGTGCAAGGAGGCTCCTCAAATTTGCCTGGGTTAGCCTCTCTGTGACATGTTCCTGCACAGGTCAAAGCCCTTTTGAGTCAACGGGAAGTCTTTGTTATGCCTCTGGTGCAGGCGTCGATCTCGCTGGCCCACATCCCTCACACTTCCATTAAACTCTTTCCTGGGATTTTAGGATTACCAAACACTCTTTCAAGAGAACAAGGATTTTCAACATATCCTGCCCAGAGGACTCAAGTTTACCTTCCCATGGGGACTTCTTTTCTCATACTGGGAGAAGCAGCAATCCATTATGTCTGAGTTGGGAAACATCATTTAGCCGTTGCTGCAGCCTGTCAGAGAATGAATGACATGCAGTCACTCCAAGAACCATTCTTACAGCTTTCAGTTGATGCTCAAATGCTGGGCATCAATTTGTCCCCTGCTCAATTTGCCCCCCTTGGGTTCAGTATTCTGTTTCTGGTCTTGTTTTCAAGATTTTCAGATCTCCATGTATATTTGTGGGAAACAGGAGATTAACATCAAACTAAGACTGAAGAATAAAACATTCTGTGTTGTGAATATTTTGGTAATATTTAAATTTCAGGAGGGGGTGGGGGGGTGGAGACAGCAGGTTTTCCAGGTGGTTTGCTATAGGTGCCAACACTATGACAGTAAAAACTATTTGCTCTTTTAAATACATTTATCTTCTCAAGTGTTTAAATCTCAAACTTAACTTACCTAAACTTTAGGGGGGGTGCGGGGGAGGGGGGGGGGCGGGGGAGGGGGAGGGGGCGGGGGAGGGGGAGGGGGAGGGGGGGGGGGGGGCGGGGGAGGGGGGGGGGGGGGAGGGGCGGGGGGGGAGTGGGGAGGGGGAGGGGGAGGGGGGGGGAGGGGAGGGGAGGGGTGGGGAGGGGCGGGGGAGGGAGGGGGAGGGGGGAGGGGGGGGGAGGGGAGGGGGAGGGGGAGGGGGGGAGGGGGGGGGCTTTGGGGGGGGAGGGGGAGGGGCGGGAGGGGGGGGGAGGGGGGGGGGGGGGGGGAGGGGGAGGGGGGCGGAGGGGGAGGGGGGGGGAGGGGAGGGGGGGGGGGGGGGGGGGGGGGGGGGAGGGGGGGGGGGGAAGGTGGAGGGGGGGGGGCGGGTGGGGAAGGGGCGTGTTCGTTCGGGGCTTTGGGTGGTGGTCGGCAGGGGAAGTGGGGGCTGGAATTTGTTCGGGGAAGGGGCTTTTCGGGCCGTCCGGACAGTGGAAGGCCCTCCGGCAGGCCGTCCTCGGCCACCCTTCCTTCCGCCCGGCGTTCCGAAGGACCGGGAGGCCTCCCCTGCCCGGCCTGTCTGCCCGTAAGGAAAGGCCGTCCGGGCCGCTCCGGGGCCGGCCACCGTCCCCTGCATGTCCTAATCCCGGCTTCCACCGCCGATATCCCCCCGCCTTCCAACCGTCCAACTCAACCCTCCTCCACCCCTTCCCCCTTCTTCCACCTCCTTCCACCCTTCCTTCCTTCCCCCTTCCTTCCACCCTTCTTCCCCTTCTTCCACCCTTCCACCCTTCCACCCTTCCACCCTTCCACCCTTCCTTCCTTCCACCCTTCCTTCCACCCTTCCTTCCTTCCTTCCACCCTTCCCTCCTTCCACCCTTCCATCCTTCCTTCCACCCTTCCTTCCACCCTTCCTTCCTTTCTCCCTTCTTCAAATTCCTTAATGTTAGAGCTTCTCTGAAGGTTTTGTCAGCTTTCCAGCCATAGAATAAAATGTCTGTTTTGTTTAGGACTGCTCTGAACTCAGAAAGCCAATTGTTCCATTTGTTTCCACTACTTTGAAGGAAAACATTATTAATCTTTATGTTAGTATTTATATGGAGCCCTTGCTTTATTAGCAAATATTTTCTAAGTTTTTGGTGACGTCTGGCTTATATATTGAGAGATGAGGAGATTATTTATATTAATATGCCAAGTATTGGTTAGAAGCAAAATTAAGAGCTTCATTTTTTATTTTAGAATTTAGTAGTCATCAAAAATTTGATTTTCTATGTAATGCCATGAAGAATTCATTACAGCACCATTTGTATGAATGGAGGGATTATCCAATTACTACTGGTCTATTAGTGATGCTAAATGAAAACTGCCCTTTAAACTTGTATTTATCTTGTAATAGATACATTGATTTAAAAAAGACAAAACCCTTTCCTTTTCATTCTTCCCTTCCCTCATATCCCCAAATAATCATTAAAACACTTTGTGGTTTAACATGCCTATAAATTGTGCCACTATATGCAGAATAAGTAACTGATGTGCTTTTAGCACGACTAGATGTTGCTGGTCTTTCACTTTCAGAAAGAGCTGGTGCTACACTTGCCTTGTCCCAGGGCAGTGCTTATGGCGTGGATCTCTTTGTCCTTATTTTATGAGGTGCACCTCTGCCCCAGCTAGGCTTGGAAGACCTTGTTCCCGTGCCAGCCCTAATGTGAAAATACTCACATTGGTATCTTCCTCGGCTTGTACATGCCTCCCTCAGGTTGGGCATAACACTCTTATCTTTTCTCCTGTGCCAAATCTCAAACCACAAACAGTTCTGATTCCAACTCAGAGAGGGAGGCAGTGTGCTGTGGCCAGGGCCGTGGTAGTGTTTTGGACCCTGGTCTCTAGGGAAGGGGACTCTGCTCCAGGCAGAAACCTTCTGTTGTGTTCAATAGGCTGTAATACACTGTCAGAAGTGGAAAATCTCTATTTTGCCAAAAGCAATGGCCCTGCCTAGGAAAGGAAGGTAGACAAAAAGAGAACAAAAATCTGCTGTGTTCTGCTATTTTTTTCTGAGTCTGCATATGATTTAAAAACATTTTTAACTCGAGGGTGGGGGTGTTCTTTATCTTTGTCCTATGAAGCATATTTGCTCCATTTTCTCCCTCCTTCACAGAGCATCCCAGGCAGGCTGCAAGCATGCAGTTGTGTGCTGTGGCTGCCTGGATGAAGCACATGTACACACGTGTGTGCAAGCAGAAAGTGGTGGGAGAGCTGGTGATATTGTACTGCAGAGGAGAGGATCCAGGAGGGAGACACAGCAGCTCTTCCCCATTAACTCAGGGCACGCAACAGTCCCCGACAAGACCAGAGCATCCCAGAGCCCTTGTGCAGGCAGCCCTGCTCTCCTTACTGCAGGTCAGCCTTCCAGCTCCTGCCCTGCAATCTGCGTTGGTGATTTCACCCTGCTGGGAGCTGCCCAGCTGCAAGGAGGCCAGCTACAATGCTTACCCCCTTACCTCATCCTCCCTACACCCCAGCCCCGAGTCAACGGGTGGCAGGGGAGCCCTGGCAGCTCAGTGTTTTATTCCGGAGGAGAAGCAATCCCCCTTGGCAGCCACGGCAGCAGCCCCTCATGGGACCAATTACTCCGACTCGCGCTGCGCCAGCGGCGGCGGGCGGCTGCCAGCTCCCCCGGGAGATGCTCCACCGGGCTTCGCTAGCAGGAGCCAGCCCGATCCTCCAGACACGCGTGGTTCCTCATGTCAGAACTGCTGCTAATGACACAGCTAACTACCCGGGGATGACTGAGGGGCTCTTAATTAGGTAAACAGTGCTCGGCGAAACAGCTAGAGCCCAGTTCTGTGTGTACTGGTTCGTGTCAGGCTGCTGGGAGGTGAAGCCTCCGCCTGCGGATGGAGAGTCTGCTTGAAGGTCTAATTTAGGTGGTAAAGCTGTAACTCAGCTGGGAATTCCCTTTCATGCGGAGTTTAGAATAAGTGCTAGAAACAGTGCAACAGCTTGCAGAGACACCCTAGAAGTATTTGAAGTATTTCATTGCATGCAGAGAATAGATGACTTCCTTAACCGGAGCAGCAGCACAGAGACTGCTGTCTAATTTTAAGTGGATCAACCAGGAAAACCCTAGAGACAACACCCAGGGGGGAACTACAAAGTGTTTTGCTCCTTTGGTGTGATAATGGACCTGATGCAGTGCAATGCAAAAATCCCACAGCCCAAACAACCAGGAGCTTCAGGGATGTCACAAGGTCTGGAAAAATGAAGACCGCCATCTTCATGTATTTCTTTTACCGCTGTAGTCTGTTATTGCTCAGGCCTGCATGTTGAGAGAAACCCCACAGTGTTTAGCTGGTACTGGCTGGGTGAAGTTTAGGCTGAGATTTTAAAAGCAGCCTCAGGGAGTTGAAGTTCAGGTCAATGGGGTTTGGGCCTCTAGCTCCCAAAGGCTTTCATTTGGATGAAGGTTTAGGTCCTGCTTTTATTTAGGTATTTCCAGGGCCTATCGCTACAGCTTCTGCATGTGGACCCCCGCAAATGCCTTCATTGGACACCCCTCTGCTCAGCACCGTGAAACAGCAAGCAGGGCAGGGGTGATGGAGCACAGTCACTGGTAAAGCAACACCTCCAGCAGATACGATAGCTTGCTGATGTACTGCAAAGTGCTCTACCGTGTAGTGCTAATTAATATAGAACGTCAGGAGAGCTCTAATCATGTGTCAAGGGTCAACAAACTGTATTTCTGTAATGGGTAAATGTGGGTACTGAGAAATTCAAAATCTTTTTTTCTGAAGCACTTTTTGCCAGCAAGTTTTACCATCTCTTGTCTACTCAAGTTTTATTTTCATTAAGCATGTAAAGAGATTACTGGATAATTCAGCTAAGCTATCTGTGCTGAACAGAGCAATTTGCACCAGGCAGCTCTGAAAATGCATCTGTCACCTTCAGCAGGCACAGACGCAGTTTCAGAAAACACTGGAGGTGCCTCAGTCAAACCCCGGGATACTTTACTATTTGTTCTGCATAACTGCACAAAATTCATATTTGGTGGAGAGACAGGAGCAGCGCTACCACTTAGATACCAATGATCTTGATGCAAATCTGAAGGTTTCCCTTAGGGAAGCAGGGCCATAGGAACTTCACAAAGCTGCATAAGAACAGCAGTGGTTGTTTTTTTCTGCACTATCCTGTATCTAACAACAGCAGCACCAAAAAACTTGTAGGCAGTTCACCAAGTCCCGTAGTCATTATTTATAGCATTATCTACATATATGGGAACTTCCTTCCCATCCATGCCAATTAGTCACTGGTGCATGCTCTGAAGGATAAAGGAAGGCGTTCCCCTCCCAATCTACACATACTGTTTTAGATTAATTAACTCAGTGTAAGAGGTCAATATTTTTCAAGATGAGACCTGAAAAGTTTTGTAACATCTCACGACCATGATACCTGGTGCCTCTGTTTAATGGAGGAATGGAAATGATTGATTATAAGTTAGTTTTGATTTGCTGTGATTGATGACTGGCTCTTGGAGATAGACATTAATTACCTAACAGGGGATAGAGAAGTACCTCACCTACCGTGCCACTCATTCTTAAATATATCTGCTCTTTGTGTTGTTAACAAATGCTAACAGAGCATCATCTTCTATATCTGGAAGGAGCAGCGTTAGGGCAGGTATCTCACCACTGAATTTTCTGAGAAGACGGATTCAAGAAAACATGGTAGAAAAACCTTCTCTTCAGGTCGTTATTAACCTGAATTCATTAAATGACTTCCCAGTAAACAGTCAGGCCCACTGTTTTGTTTTTGGACTTCATCTTTTTATCACATGCAAAGACATTTTTAATTTTGGGTGTGCTTTTGGAACATTTTTGCTTGCTTTCCATTTGCATGCTCACTTCACCCCCTTATTTCAATTCCTCTCAATTCTGTCTTTAGAACTTACCTGTGTTTGGTTATGCTGTTTCTTTCAGCTGCACTGGATTCAGATTTCCATTTTCTGCTGCATACCAGCACAGTTTGCATAACCTCTTGAACTCTGCCATTTAATCCCATGCGTGTTTTTTTTTTTTTTTTTTTTTTGTCCATTGCTTCCTTTCTAATTTAGCCATATATACCTTCTGTAGCTCCTCTTATGGGTGTTGCAGGGCGTGCACTCGGTCTCCCTGCTGAGTCTGAAGATTCTGATTTCCCTGTTTTTGACATTAGGGTCTTTCTCAACAGCTTCCTCCATTTTCAGAAATCCCCCTCTCTGAAGTTCACTGCTACCAATGTAGTTTGGGGGTATGGTTCTTCCCTTACTGAGGTAGAATTGAACTATACTGTGGTTACTGTTGTTTTTGACTTAACTGGAACTGCTTATCAAGTCAGAACCAGTTGTGCCATAGAAACAGCTTTTCTATTCAGCAGCTTTTTTTGATACAGAGAATTTCCCCTAATATTAGCCCAGCGTGTACGTGGGCAGCTAAAATCACCACATACTCTGTTCTGGTTGACTCAGCTGCCCAGTCTTCCTCAACAAGGCAAGTTCCCTAGTCCGCACCATTAGTAGGGTAAAGCAGCATTCATTTTTCAGGCCTGCCATGCTGTTTAATAATATATTTGAACAAAATAAAAATAAAAATTAAAAAAAAAATAATCTTGTTACTCCATCTAAAGCTGGCCTGGTTAGAAATTTTCTGAAGTGACACTTTCTTGGCAAAAACCAGAAATGAAATGAATGTAGTGACCAAAATGAAAAGAATGCAATGACATTTCATAATTGAAGGCATCCGGTTCATAGGGAACAATAGGTTTCTTTTCTTTCTTGCTGTTTTCTCACACTGTCAGCTCTTCTAGATGCAGAAAGACAAGGAGGGTGAAAGTGTCCCCCTCATTCAAAAAGGTGAAAATCCTCTAATGAAAGAGTTCAACTTAATTCAGAGTTGGTTATTGTTAACTAGGCCTGTCCTCCTTCCTCTCCCATGGCAGAGCAAAGCTGAGATGCCTGTGCTGTGCATGGAAAGCTCTTTGCCATAGGGCAAGCTTGCCTTTCATACCCTAAATGGCTCACAGGGGACTTCAGCATCAGTCCTGGGCTCACTGGTATCCCCAGCACTGCCCAGGACACCTCAGCAGAGGTATCAGTTCAACACGCAGAAAACAGCTCAACTGTAAACCAGTTGTTGACGTGTGCAGACTGATCAACACCTACTCAGTACAGGCACAAGTAATCAGAAAGATTCAGTGTACATGTCTGCAGGCTACACCAGATCTAGTTTCCTGCAGCTCCTCTGCTCTGGTCTCTCATGGGAGGAACCTCACAGCTTCATTAGCTATGGTCTGATGAGTGCATGTAACACCCAGTAAGTGCTGGCAAGCTGGTCACCTAAATGCTGGCTGAGCAAAATCCTTCGGCACATGCCTCATGGTGGATCAAGTTCAGTGCTGGGCTGAGGAGTGACCAGGACATCACTTTCATCCTCACAGCCCTGCTGCAGCAGTTTCTGTCTGGTCTTCAGCTGCAAGCAGAGCCTGCTGCCTTGGCTGTCAGTAAGTTTCAACAAATATTTCAATGTCAACGGTCAAATTTTTGTATCACGGCTGCATCTACATAGGCTGGAATCACTTAAACCATGACAGTTTGAGGGTTTTTCCTCATTATTTTGGAAGATTAGATTTTTTTTTTTTTTTTTTTTTTTTTTTCTCCTTTACATGCACCAAAGCCATTGACTGTACTATGGCTCTGAAACCAAAACCGCAATTACAATGTTTATTTTTAGGACCCTGGCTTGTGTCACCAATTTAGAGAAGATGTGGTTAAGCTAACAGTCACTCACTTCTATTGCTTGCAATTTTGTATTTCACATTTGTATAAAGCCTATTACCAGAACAACAGAATATTTCTGTTCCAGGACCATAGATAATTGATAATTTGAGAGGAAGTGAATGCAACTTCTACATTTCAGTTTGTCAGTTTTTTTCTCACTCAGTTGATGAACTAAATGTAAGTAGATTCTTCCTTAAAAAAATCAAAATAGGTAAAAGGGGATTTTTAAGATATCACTGCAAGCATTAGCCTCTTGTCTTGGCAGACACCAAGAAACAAATGTCCGGAGAAAGGGTGGCTAACCTTAACCATAATCCTTGACCATAAGCAGGACTGGCCTGACAGCTAAGCTTGTCATTGCAGCTGTGCATAAAAGATTTTAGCTGCAAAGCAGCACCAGGTCTTGTGCGTGCTTTCTAGAATCATGCTGCTGCCTCAGAAGTTGGTCTGCAGACTCTTCCAGCTCTTTGTTGCTTAGCCACTTAGAAAATTTTGCCTGTGGTCAGGTTTGATGGCTCTGCTCAGTGCTCAGCCATTTGTGAGAAGTGAGCACAGCACTGAGCCACTCTGATCTGGCAGCACTCTACACTCATTTGCTGAGGAGCAAATGACTAACACATAAGACTGAAAAATCCAGTCTTCTATGAAAGGATGCAGTTGAAAAAGCATTGCCACTTATAATGCAAAGCATTTTGGAGCATGCACAGATTTTAACATGGTGCTTCTGCATCATTGGAAAAGCCTTTTTCACAAGAGCTTTAGCTTGAGAAGAAAGTGGCACCTCCTGTCACTTACCAGCCATAGTAGAATATGTCTTGGTCTTAAAAAGCACCTCCCAGTTCGGACAGGCAGTGTGGGGTGAAGAAAGACACACTGCACAAATGGCATCCTCAGGTCTGTGCTCTGCTGAGCTCGAGGACGGTCACAGGCAAGCTTTCCAACACCACTCTGAGCACATTTTTGTAGGAACCTAGTTCATGCCCAGGCATCACCACAACTGACACCAGTAATTCATCCAGTGTACCTCACTACCTCAGGCTGTCAGCTCAGGCATGGCAAGGGCCCCATGCTCATCCCTGCAGCTGCTCTTACCCTGTGCAAACACCAGACCCTGAAGCTCTGATCCGTGACCCGATGCTTTGCGAGTGGTGACAGCCCTTCAGTAACAGCCAATATATACCAAAGGACTGAGTCAGTTGTCGACGCACCGAGTGAATGGGAAATGGTAAAAGGGTGGTTTTGTGGCATTTGAGAAGGGGGAAAATAAGCGACATGGTATAGATGGGTGTGCAAGTGGCTGAAAACATACTGCTTGGTGGCACACAGAGAGTCTCTGCTGAGACCCTGAGGACTGAGAATGCAAATGAAGAGGGTTGAGGTGAACCAGCATAGACTGTGCAATACCCAGGACCCAGAGAGTCACTTTAGCTAACAGAAGACAACAATTAACAAGGCCTTTGCTGGAAGGGAATAAGTCAGGAAGGAAACAGTTCTCATTAGTACTAGATAGCAGGCAAGAAAAATGTAATAAAAACCAAATGAGGGATAAAAAACTGGAAAAGAATTAAGTTTCTTGGGCAGACACTAGAAACAATCCAGAGAAATTCATCTGCTGTTTGGAAAAAGAGATCAAGGATTAGGTAATTTATAAGGCTGGTGAATCATTTGTAGTGAATAATTTATTTCATGAACGTGGCCTCATTTTCTGCTCAGAAAACGTCTGCTAGCAGGTTATGAATTAATTGACATGCATTTGCCGACAGTTTATGAACAATGTTTGGTGTAGTTTGTTCACATGTACTCTTTGAAAGAAGCAATCTTTAATCTGCTCTGGCTCTGGTTAGTGAAACAGGTGACTTATTTCTGGTTTTCTCCTTTCTTGCCTGATGAGCACTGCTGTTAATTCTGCATGCGAGACAGAGCCTGGCCTCTAGCGTGGCCCCTTTGGGTACTGGGGGTTCCCCAGTTTGAGAGATTGCTGCTGGCAGGCTTGCCCTCTGTACAGATGGCAGATCTTACTGTCAGAAGGCGCTCACTCGATGGCACTGCTTAATCAGAGGCTGGGAAGTGCGTGCAGGTGCTAAATCCACTTCCCAGAGAGACGCTGCAAGATCTGCCGGGGTTCCCCGAAGGGGCACGGGGCTGGAGGCACGTGCGTGGATGGGGATGAGCTGGCGGGGCTGCCCCCTCGCTCAGGGTCTGCTGGGACTCTCAGGTGCCAGCTCCTGCAGCCAAAGGGAAAAAAATAACATAGGCATAGGTTTCTAATCACACAGCTGTGCTCTCACACAGCCTGAGGAGAAAATCCAAAGCCACAGCATTGCTTATGGCTCCCTTCTCGCTATCTCTGCAATGAAGGTTAGCCAAAACATAGGTCTGCAAGGGAAAAGCAGACACTTGAAAAGGGGGTGTGGAGTCCACAGTGCATTTCAGCATAGGCTGAAAGTTTAACTGTTTGATGCCAACAGGGGTATGTACTCCCTACTGGGACCTACTAAATGCTTTGTGAGGATCCAGGTCCTCACAGAGGATTATTCTGTGTGTGTGTGTAGAACTGCTTTACAGGAGGGCAGCACCCTCTAAGGAAAGGCCAGGGAAGAAATTTACAGGTTTATCCTGTTTATTACTCAAGGAAAAAATATTTTATTTCTGCTTCATATGGATTTTTTTGGTGAGAGGAGCTCTGCTTGGAAAGAATGGCAGGGTCCTGGCTTGTGATGAGGCTCTCTGTGGCTTCACTGGGGAAGCAGTGGGAATGCTTAGGCACATCATTAGGTCACATTCTGATTGCAAAATAATAATAATAATAAAAAAAAATCTGCTGTTCTCATTTGGTTACAGAGATTGTAGAGGCTGCCGCTAGCTGAAGCAGGTTGAAAGAGCTAGGCACCCTCATTGGTTTTAAGTTGACTGCGCCTCTTTCAGATGTCTCAGTTAGAAATTGAATCTAAAGTCATATCCTGAAATATTTAATTCTAAATGCATGCCACTATTTCTGCTTCACTGCAGTACTTGTCCAATTAAATCTAACTTAAAAAGAAGAAGAAGAAAAAAAGCTCCACATATATTATATTAAATGACTTTCTTGTCATATTTTGGAATTAACAAAAAGCGAGAAGCCTATTTAACAACTTGCAATGTATACGATTTTAACAGCCAAACTTAGAATAGCTGTTCTTTCATCTATAAATTAAATGTATAACAAAGCCATAATTAAAGACCTCACTAGCAAAACTTTTCAATAGTGTGTTCTTTGCAATGGACTTTGAAGCACCTTCAATTGGAGCAATGGGAATTCTTCTGGACAATGCTACAAGCTGCAGATACAGCTTAGTTAATTACAAGCAGAGCTTTCAGTATTTATTCCTCCTGCCAAAATCCTTATGCATTGCAACAGCGAACTGTTTTTCCCTTGTGTTTGCTTACTAATGCTGCTAGAATGTGAATATAAAACAATACCTGTCTGTCTGTCTTGATCCTAGACACGATTATTAAGCTTTCATGCTAATTTCCCTGTCTATCGAGTTAAGATTGGATTAAGGAGGCAGAATTTCTATATGCAGTTAGGGTTCCCTAAATATTTCAGTGCAGCACTCAGCAACTGAAGGTACAAGGTGGCTATTGTTTAAGTCAGGGGGATCTCCAGCAGAGCCTCTTCTCACTTTCTCAGAGCCAGCGCTGATGGCCACAGCAATGGGAATTGCTCTCAATGTACCTGAGCACAGAAGGGAGCCTAGGAACAGCATCTGCTCTGTAAGACTGGTGATTATTCTCTGCACATTGCACACATAAATTATGGGGTCTGACCGTGGAGAGGTCCAAGGATCCAAAGCAGTGTGAAGGCACCACATATTGGTATGTGGGAAGATCCCAGATTCCCTCACACAGTACTTGAGTAATCTGTTGTTCAGCTATGTCCTGTATCTTGAAAGCCTGCAATAAAATCCAGAGAGTTGTTTAAAATGACAGACACACAGTGCTGGAGTGTGCTCTGAAGCAGTCCCCTTTCCAGCCAGTCCACACGAAGCGTTTCAACCTCTGGTCACCCTCCTCATGGATTTTCATGTTCTTACAGGAAGGCTGGTCCACAGCATTCAGCCTCCTAGGGCTGGAGATCTGTGGTTTCCAGGCAGTAGCACACAGCAAACACTGGCTTCCTTCAGCAGCACTTCCACAAGTCCATGCTCCTATGCCTTTCGCCCTATTTCCCTCTCAGTCTCTTCTCCCCAGAAGCTGCATTATTATTATTTCTCTGTTATTTACTTGTGTGTTTGCTCCCTTTAAAAATTGCCAGCTTCAGACAGACAGACAGTCCCAGCTAAGCCAGGAACATGCTTCCAGTATACAGTTATCTGGCTAGGGAATCGCATGAGATATCTGGGTGGTGATCAGAGGGGGGAATGAACTGAGCACTGGTATTTTGGCTATGACACCAAACATATTCGGTATCTCAGCTTAGCTTTGAGCTTGATCAGCTGTGCACTCACAGGGGTGTTGACAGGACTAAGGCACGATCCAACATGTTGAGCAGCTACACTGAAAAGCAAAGGATGCAAACAGATAATTCACCAGCATCTAACCAGTTAGTGGTGAACTCATAGAAGTTTGGGTTATTACAGTTTCTAGGTATAAAATCCTTTCTGCATCTGTACCACCTCCCTTGGACATGTGTAGCCTGCTTACTGTAAGCTCCCCCCCAAATGCCTGCTTCCTCTTGCAGAAGATGGTGCAGCCCTTTCCCCTCCACATGTTCCAGAAACGTGAGATTCCACCAAAATGTCCTTGTTCTCCTGCTTCAGAAACACCAGGGAAAAGGAGAGGGCAGCACCAGCCACACATCTTTTCCTACCATCCCTCAGCATCCAAGACAGCTGCCCCTATGGCTCCCACTGTGACTCCTTCTCAGTGGGACCACTGACCCTGCCTGATGCACGTCCAGCACATACCACCACTGCAAGCCACACCAGCGCCAGGAGGTGTTCATGCAGAGCAGGCTGTGGCATAGTTCAGTGAATGTGATGGCAAAAGCCTGCATGGACTGCCTGGGTCCTCAGTCAGATCTGACCCTGCAGATACAGAAGGAATTCACATTAGTGTCCCAGTTCTTCCCAGTCTGGATGCAGTCTGTCCGATTATGCCTGAGACTCCTACACGATTTCACACTCTCTTCCATTTTCTCCATTTTAACTAAATTCCCTCTAGAGCACACTATCAAGTGCCTTCCGGAAGTCCAGACAAATGAGATCGACTGCATTTCTTTAGTCTGGAAAACCAGTCACTGTCATGGGAAGAAGTTATTAATCTGGAGTGATTTAACTTTGGTAAATTCCTATTGACCTTTTCATTTCATTTTCCATTTACTCCTATCTTTAGCTCACCGATAACACATAAAGCTTCAGTTCAGATGCTGAGATCAGATTAACAGACCTGTGGTTACCTGGACTGCTTTTTTGCCTTTCTCAAATAGAGGAACTTCACTTGCTGTTCCTCAATCACATGGCCCCCGCCAAGCACGGAGTAGTTGATGGATCTGTTCTGCAGAACTGCAATTTTACAGGCAAATTCTTTCAGAGGCGAAGATGGAGAGTGCCTGGTTCCCCCAGTTTGAAGGCCATTAATTCTTTGAGCTCTGATTTCACCCCAGATGTGACCATCCCAATACCACTTTCCTTCCACTCCCGTTAGTCACCATGTTTTTGGCACCATAGTTTGCATCCTCACTGAAAGCTGAGGTAAAGACAGACCGCTTACTGTAGCTGCAATCTCTCAGTCAATAGCTTCCTCACTTCTTCTTTTTTTGTTCTCTTTTTATTTATATAACTGAAGAACGTTAAGTTACTGTTTTTATTTCCTTTGCAAGATCTAAAACGGCTTGATTTTTGATAATTTTCTTTCTATGTATATACTTCTGACCTCTAAGATGTACTTTCCCTTGCTGCTGGGTCCCACTTTTCACTTCACATGGACTCTCTAGTCATTCCTTATTTTCTGTACTTGAGCTGGTTATTTGTAGTAGGAGTATTGCCTTTTTCTGCACTGTTGCCTTGTCTCTTTTGCTTGCACCCATGGCTTATGTACATTAAGCACATCAGACTGCGTGTTGGAGTATGAACTGCTGCATCCAGATGGCTTCAATCATTAGGTCCCTAACTTTGTCAAATTTTTCCTTTTTTATATCAAGAATCTTATTAAGAGAACTGAATTAATTCCTAATCATCTGACTGAAGGTAATTTTCTACAATCAGATCTTCCAAAATGTCATCAGTATTGATGAAATCAAGTCAACAATCACTTGTAAAGAAATCTGTCGACAATCATACCAAAGGATATATGGATCGTGCTGTGATTAGCCTAGGCCTGAGAAGCTGAGCTTTCCCACAAGAACAATTTCTCTCATTATTTGCTTCTAAGAACTCTGCAGAGATCTCAGTCCATATCAGCAGTGGTGCTTAGAGCTCTCCCCGCTTTTTCTTTTTTTTCCCTCAGCTGGTCAATCAGGACTGACTCCCTTCCCGCCCAGCCTTCATCCATCTTTTCTGTTTACATTCAAAACTCTCTGGGACTGACTCTGCTGCCTTGTACAGAGTGCAGTCTTGATTTTGTTTGGTCCCCGGACACTGCCATAATTATTAGTCATGTTTATATAACGATCCTGTATCATCAGGTTGTTATGACACATTTTATTAATGTGTTGGAATCTCTTTGATGCTGGGTAGAGCTGTGAAGCAGAATTATACATCCCCAGTAATGTTTGTAGCAGCGGGGTAAGGCACGCGGGGCTCATATCCCAGTGTTGTCTATATTCCTTGTGGAACATGAGACAGTTGTTATTCTAACCATCGCATACCTCATCCTTTTCATTTAAACCAGCATCAGCACAATGGCTACTGCTAGTCCAAAGTGTTAACAGCTGTGTTAAGTGGCAGCCAACCAATTTCCTGTAACTTGTGGTGAGGTAGCCAGATGCAGAGAATATCTATATAAAGACATCTTTTTTTTTTTTTTTTTTTTTTTTTTTTTTTGGTGGAGAGGAAATCAAAAAAAGCCCCTTTTACATTTGAATTCAGTTTCCACATCTAGGCCAAGAATAGTGTGAGGACTAAGAGCAAATGCCACACCATACTGACATCCCAGTGCGGGGTCAAAAGGCACTACAGGGAAACGGGATGCAGTTTATTCAAGGTCAGATCATATTTTTGCATCCCCCTCAGCCGCCTGCAGAAGACCAGCTTCTCCTCTTTTACTGAGCATAACCAGCCTTGTTGCAAAATAGGTGTTTACTGTCATACACATGTGCCTCCTGGCTTGAACACCACGGTCTCTCTCTGTGGTCTGCACGAGCCCTCCCCTCCCTCCCTGCGGGACGCCGCACGGCACTGCAGACGCCCTTCAGAAGGCCGTATCTCTCAGGCAGGGGAAACCTGTGCGGTGGGACAGAGGAAACGAGCCTCGCTGCCGGGCGGGCAGGCACGTAGCCCTGCCGCTTTCTCAGCACTCACACGCACGGCAGTGTGGGGCGAGGTGAGGTGAGGCGCTTCATCTGGCCACCGCAATCCCACGGGGATGTAACCCCGGACTCCTGAGCCCACAGCAGTGAGTGGCATCTCCTTCACAAAGACCATGCTGTGCAACTGCCTGGGCAGAAGAGGTGGCTTCAGGCCTGGTCAGAGGGTATGGCCACAGGGAAGCCGAGCTCAGCAAGGCCAGGAGGCACTCTGTGGTGCCAGCAGACCCCAGCACGTGCCGAGGTGGCAGCTGGCTGTACTCTCTTCCCTCTCACAGTCCAGCTTCCCCTAGAGACAAGTGGCCAGGCATGGACCCTGGTACCTTTCTGAGTCAGAGCTCAGCAGGACATTTAGTACTTGCTTGGCTGAACAGGCATGGGCTCAGAAAATTGAGAGGCTCCTGTGCCTGCTGTTACAGAGATTGCTTAGGGCTGAGACTTCTGCATTCAGCTTCCCTCCCCAGCATCCATGCAATGCAGGACAGGACTTGCTTGATCTGTGTGCATATTGCCTGTGTACACATGCACACATGAAAGATTGTCCAAAACCTAGCAGGCTGGAGTAGGAAGCTAGCAAGTGATGAACAATACCCTTGCAAGGCTTTATCCGTTAAAATGCAGATCTGTCCCAAATCACTTAAGACAGCACACAATTACATCAATGTTAGGGGGTGAGGGAGGGCAGACATAGGCAGAAGGGAATGGAAAGTAGCTGAGGACTCGTGCTCTTACCTCTGCAAACAGCACTATGGGATCTTTAATGACTAGACATGGTCAGGACCTCTACTTCATGTCTTGTCTGAGCAATTTGCAATGGAGCCCCTATTAAAACCTTTCTGGGGGTATTGGTTTTCTCTTGACTCAGAGGGAAGACTGCTGCTTGAATCACTAACAAGAATCCAGCAGCACCTGGGTTTTCATTGGCAACGAACCACCCATGTACTGACCAAGTGGGAGGCTGTTAAAGAACAATTTCCCACCATCTGGGGGAGGAAAAAAATCATTCACTGTGCCACACAACTGTCTAAAATCTGTGACATAGGCATGATTTCTTAAAGAAAAATTCCCTTCTTTAACTGGGGGGAAAGGGGAGGGGGGGAGGAGTAAGGCAAACTCAGACACCCTTCCTCAGGGGGCAGAGTGCCATTTTACTGAGTGAGCTGCTTGGACATTCTTTTGTGTGTGTGTGTGTCTAAATTCAGTCCAACAACATCCCTGAAAATTTCCCTAGAGCAGCTGAAAGCATGATGCAGACAGCAGAGTGCTGCAAACATATCATGTAGACATCTGAACTTTGCTATATAGGGAAACAGCAGCAGATAATAACTGTATGAGCAGCCTCATACCAGGACACTGCCTTTGGGGCTCTTGTGGTACCAGAATCCCTTCAAGGAGCTCAGAGCCTTGTAATTATAAGGCTTTACACACCGCTTGTTGCCTTCATCTTAAAGGTTTGTCACAATACCTGTAAAACAGTCTTCTTAGAAGTGGAGGGTTGGAAGTGCAGCTAATGATAGCAAAGTTGCCCTCTTCAAACCACACACAGGGAAATTCCTGATGACTGCGACTGCTCTGTCCTAATTCCAAGTTCATATTTTGTCCCTTTCTGGGCAAGATCCAAAAGCTCGATATGCCTGGGTTACACTCAGCCAGGTCCTCCTAAAGCTGGATGTGGTTAAGTAAACCTCAGCCTTATTTATGCAGACTTTTGTATGTGTCCACACAAACATCTGTAATCCTGTAGTAACAAATACAATAGCAATTCTTCATTTGGTCAAAAAAGACATGCCTGATGACCAGGCTGTATCTTCTACCACTGTGGCTGAGCAACAGAAAGACATCTTTAATGCCAAATGTAGATCTCTGTACCTAAAAGTTTCAGTTCCCATTCGTATGTGATTATGGAAAAAAGACTCACTTGCCCACTTCCAATAAATGAGAAACATGTTTCTTAGAGGCAGTATGCTTCCTATGCTTGTAGTATAGTGAAGCTGTTGGCTTGTCTACTATTTTTGACATGCAGCTGTTACACAGAAACATCTGATAGTTTCTTTTCTTCAGGCTCAGTTGCTGTGGTGTCAGGAAACAGCCTTTGGTTTCAGTTCTTGTAAGACGTGAGCAGGTATGGGAGGCAGTGTGATACCTCAGTAGCACAGAAAAACATCCTGCAGCCCACAAAAGAAAGTATAGATACAGGGCAGGGGAGGCAGATCAGTTTCCAATTCTCATTACAAATATGTGCTTTATGAAAAGTGTGATAAATTGCTAGTTTAAAAAAAAAAAATCACAAATCAGAATGGTATGTATGTTTCTTTTCTACTGTGAGACTGGAGAATGAGTTCATTGATTTACAAGGCGAGATGCTGATACTTTAGGTGAGAGCAGCTTCTAACCAACAAATGCAAAACCAAATGCTAATCCAATCACTAGTGACACACAAGACTTAGTAATGTGTTAGCATAGGGTAAAAACTCTCCAAATTCACCATACTGTGAAATACAAGCATGGAAGTGGAGAAGTTAAATGGAAGCCTTCTAGTGCCTAGGATGGCATAAACCAGTGACCTAAGCATGTATATCAATATAATGCAAACTGTAAGAAAACAATATACAATATTTTGTAGGATCTACTATCACCCTTACTTGGTGTGGGGGAAGATTTAGCTCTCTCAGGGAAAATCTCTATACAGGCAGATGACATGCTAAGAAATCCCTGTTCCAGTCACAGAAGGAGTCAGCAACAGGTCTTAGAGCCTGCCCAACATATCATAGTAGTAATTATCTTCTTTCTTCTTTAAATCCTGTCATTAACTGCACTAACTACAGTGGTATAAGCAGTTTCCTCTCCTCCCCCCAGTGAGAACAGTGCAGTTCAACCCTTGCTTTGCAGACTGCAGTGCACATAGGTTTTTGGGGGAGGTTTTGGGGTTTATGCATTTGTTTTTTCTAAACCTCAGCTGCCAAGAGCTCTGGCAATCTGGCTCTGTATCAGGCTTGAAGCCTTTGGCTTCCACAAGCTGTGGCTTACACTGTGGAGAAAGAAAAGGTGAAGAATCTTTCATGTGAGGCATTTTAATGCTAAAGCTGTGAAACCTTTAGAGTGCAAAGGTGGTAAAACTGCTTGCCTTGCACAGTGATGAGCCTATGTAAGCAAGCCATTGTTCAGTATCTGGGCTTGGGAGCACCCAAAGTCTTCATGGACTGAAATATGGAATGTGGTCACCCCCTATTCCCTATGGCAACAAGCCATTAGAGTTGTCATATCTGATATAACATCCTTCTTTAGTGTGGAGAAGTGATCTGAGAGTTTTGGGTAGGATAGCATTTACAAATCTGGTTTTAACTTGTAGGAGCTGTTTGTCACCTTTGCTCATCACTGCAACCTTTTGTTGTAGCTCTGGGGCAGCCAGCATGGTGTAGCTGGGGGCACCGGCATGATGACAGCGTGGGGATGAGTCAAGCTGGCGTGTCCCCTGGATGTACTGGTGGCATATGTGCTGAGCCTCTGTTGAGTGAGGTTTTAGTTGAGCCTTGTGTACCCGGGTCTGCAGGCCAGCTCCAAACAGCATTTGTAAGAGGCTACTGCTATCGTGTCGGCGGATGTTTCAGACCAAGCTTTGTCAGCTCTGGCACAAAACCAACAATAACAAAGAAGGTTTGTGACTGTTCCCCCGTGTGATCCAGTCTAACAGCTGCAAGTGACCAGCCACTGCATTTGGAAAGGTGCTTGGGAAGGCCCTGCTTTATGTTTGACCACGGTTTCCCAAAGACCATTTGCTGACTGTACTCCAGGACAAAGAGTCGTCTCTGCACTCACCCCGTGTCATTTTCTCCATGCTCTCTGATAGAAAAAAAAAGTGCCTGCAGTCCCTGGGGAAGCCCGTGGTACCTTGTTCCCCTCCCCGGGAGCAAGGTCAGCCAGGCCCAGCCACTGGAGTGTCCTCGTGTCGGTGGACTCAGGGATTGCAGGGCCTTGCTTCCACCCTTCCCTTCAGCACAGGGCAGCAGGGTGGGGATGCTGGCATTCCTACCTGCAGCCGCAAACACTCAGATCTTGCTAATACCCAGCTGAAGTCGGCCTGTAATTTAGGACTGCCCACGACAATGCGAAGTAGCAGCAACTCGGTCCCTGGGTAGAGTAGACTTGTGCATGATGATCCGCTTGTTAAGCTACTAAAACAACTTCTGTTTTGTCTAGATCTACATCACACCATGTCTTTAAGGAAAGGAAATCCAAACCCTGGATATAAAACAGAAAGTTTGCTTGATTTAAAAATGCTTCTGTAATGCACAAACTGAGGTAATGGCTACATCCTTTTGAAAAGCAGATGGTTTCTTTTTCATTATTTTTTTCTCTCTTACTTTTTTCCAGTATGACAAGAAACTGCTTGCTGAAGGAAGAAAAAAGATTTAGTTTATTCTCTTTGGGCTATCCTGCTCCTGACAGAGGCAAACTCTCTCTTCCTGCAAACAAAGCTCTAATCCTCTTTGTCTGGATATTTTATTAGCTGAAGTTTAAAACCTTGAACCCTCACTTTATCATGTGTTTCCCTTTACTGATGATGTCACCTACCCACCTCCATCTAATGAGTCACATATAGCAGCCAAACATAAGCGCTGGTAGGATATAGGCCTCTGCCAAAAACTTCAGCCTCCTAACACTTACCTTATTACTTGATGAAATAGGAATAACTTATATACTAGATGATATTCCCTGAAACACAAAGGAGGTCATTGAAAGCCTATAATTACCTCCTAATTATAGGAACCAAATGCAACAGGAGTTGTTAGCAAAGTGGGAGGGAGGATTGATGCTGGTTCTGCAGTGTAACCAACGACAATTGGGCCATTTGAAAATTATTTTCTTCCTAAACATTTCCATATGTCATGTGGGCATAAGAATACCATTGTAAAGCATCAGTCCCCCCAATGCCCTCTTTCAAAATTGAGAAGAAATGCAGTGGGCATTGTGTGACTGCTGACATCACAATGGAAAGCCAGCACTTTGATGTCTGAGACCCTGAAGAAGAAGGTAGGGAAGGGAATGGAAAAAATGAAGGAGTAAATCAGACAGATGGAGAGACCAAAGGAGCTGGGCAAACCCCTGCAGGACAGATGACTAAGCTTTCCATTCCAAGTCAAACAGCTCCATTTTGGGACAGCAACAGTTTTTCATTTAAACTCCCTATGTTTCTTGAACATGCTCTGGGCTCCCTGCAAGAATGTGGCTACTGTCTGTGTTTGAGACTAGACAGGCAGCCTACTTTTTCCACTTGGCTACCTTAGCACAGGATGTCAAAAAGCTTACGTGGCTTTGATAGAAGAACTTGTTCTTGGTCCCGCTGGATATGTGGAATAGGCACTTTGGTGTAAGCATAAGCATGCAGGGTCTAGACCTCCTAATTAAATTGTCATGTTTGGGACCCGCCCAACAAAACTGGACAAAGTCTGCTGTTGGAGCTGAATAAAGGAATTTTCCAAAGTGTTTCAGCTCTGCTCCCAGAGAAACCAGTGAGACCAGTATTAAGCTGAGCTTTGAGGGCAGCATTCAAATTCCAGTGTCCACAGGGAAGTGTTTCTGGGGAGGAACTCCCGTGTAGGATGTGCTTGCTGGGACTGTTTGGCTGGGCAGGGCAAAGGTTTTTTTAGATGTTCATGACTATAAATCTCCACTACAGCAGCAGCTGTGGAAAGTGACTACAAAAGAGAGGGAAATGTGGGGGTAGTGAAATTCTCAGTGCAGAAATTTTGAAGCATTGAAATTTAAAATGAAAGAGGAGAGAACCCACAAAATATTACAACCCTTCCCTCTTGAACTCAGTTCACAAACTTAGAAAAAAAATAGTAAAAGCAATTAACAAGAGTAATAGTATCAACCCTGTAGAAATGGGCTTTTCCACTTCAGCGACACTGGTTTATCTGACTGGAAGGTACAAGGTGTCCATCTTTGG